CCACCTGTTGAAAAGCCCTGCTCTAGATAACTGGTGGTCCTGTTAAACTGCTCCTACCACTAGGCCATTTTTCTTAATGTTCAACAGAAATGTATCTTCCTGAAACCTAACATGACATGCATTCTCCTCCACCTTGGACTATACAAAACAGCACTTGGTCATCTTCCATTTAATATGCATTTTCGGTTGCTAACAAACCATTTTTATGGCAGTAACTTTTCTGACAATAAGAGGGCCTTACAGCCTATCCAATCTGTCATTCTGCTTGACACGTTGTATTCAAAGCTACTGTATCTCCAAAATACTCTATAACTATCCAATCTCTGTTTGAAATCTTTCAGTGAGGGAGACCCACAGGACTTGTCTCTTAAAACTATTATATTAAATCCTGCTTTTCAGAAGATAAAGAACAAATCTCATAGTTGGAAGGTGTTACCATATTCATTTTAGGCTATCTTTGTCAACCATCTATTATAGGATATATTTCCACTGCTCTCTTCCAGACCTATTCCAGTTCTTCTACAATATACCTTTGTTAAAGATCTAGTACAAGCATCATGTCAGAATAATGCAGTTGATTTAGCTATGGCATTAACCATGCAGTTAGTTTGTAAACCATGGTTTTATGACTAAGCATGCTGTGCAAACTCAGTTGTGATTTATTAAATAACTCAAGCTTAAGCATATAATGGCTTCTTACATTATGTGGGTATAACATGCAACGACCAATATTTTTTTTTTTTAGTCTTATTAGCTGAAGAATTCACACACACTGAAATCAGCTCCCAAATCTGCTTTAATTTGTCAAACTGCATTAAAAATGCAGAGATATATCAGAAGATAAAAGGGCGTTTGTGATTCTGTTAAAAGCACAGGATTTCATAAAATCAAGCACTTCACTCTTGTCTGATTTCAAAGTGAAATTCTGGCTCATAACTAATTCCTTTTAAAGGCCCTAGTAACAATATGATTATTTATAAGCCCTTATCATAAACCAAAATTCATAAACCAAAATCATCACAGACAACACTGTATTCAAACATATATATATATATATACATACAGATGTATATGTATATATTCTATAAATCTTACAAAGCTGTCTTTAAAGATGGAAATAAAAAAGGCGCATCTCCGTGAAATACGTGAACCTAAAAATAACAAGGAACTGAAAAAGTCATTTTCTGAGGAAGAAAGGGAGAAAGCCATGGGTACATTTGTAAAAACATATTAAAACCTTACTAATGCTAACTGGCTGTGTCACTAAAAAACGGTTTCTACTCAATTATAAACAGTCAAACCAAAATTCTGAACTCCGAGTTAATGAATTACAAAGGAGTTCCATATAGACATTAGATTTAAACAGGACTGCAATCTTTGAGGGTCACTTCTGTGCAGGTCTATTTCCGAATCAGTAGAGCTTATTCACAGATATTAGAGCGCAACAATCCCACACTGAGGCTTACCTGGAAAGGAAGCACCACTGATCTTAACTCCCATGTGAATAGACATATATAGGATTGCATTATCAGGAAATTCAAAAGGCTTCAGTAATCAAGCAAGCAAAATGCAATTTAATACATGTTAATTACTTTTAAATTAGTATTCGTTTAAAAGCAAATGGTACAGTTACCACAAAAAGGTCATTTAAAATCTATTCATGTAGCCTTTGTCTTCAGATGTGAGATATTGCAGTAGAGAGCATCTGTCAATGTGAAGAAAATCTTCTGTGACAATCCATTCTGGCTGGGTTTTATGAATTCATGAATCAAATAAAATTATGGTTAGCACAATGTCTACACTACCAATTCATTATGATTATGATGCCTATACAATTATAATTATAGAACATATTTTTCATAATTGGGCCTTAGCATATATTAAAATAGCCTGTGATCTGCTATTGTATATGCATACACATATGCATGGGCACACACAGAAATAGCTGAGGAGCATCCAAACTGGGGCCATACTATATAGAGCAATCTTGAGGCTGTATATGTAAAATGCATTTACGTACACCTTCTGGCTACTTCCCTTGAGTCCTGATTGTTGAAATTAACTTTCCCCAACTCTGGCTAGGGATAGTGTAAACTGCAGGTGAATACATTTGAAGGTTACCAGGCTGGTAAAAACTGATTCAGATTTTTTTTTTTTTTTTAAAAAAAGGTGTATCTACTCCAGCTCCGTCTTCATTTACAGGTGATCCTTGGCCTATGATCACGATTGAGCACAAAATTTCTGTTGCTAAGTGAGACAATTGTTAAGTGAGCTGTGCTCCATTTTATGACTTTTCTTTCTACAGTTGTTAAGTGAATCACTTCAGTTGTTAAGTTAGTAACATGGTTTTTTAAAGTGAATCTGGCTTCCCCATTGACCTTGCTTGTCAGAGGTTGAAAATATGATCACATGACCCCAGGACACTAAAACTGTCATAAATATGAACCAGTTGCCAAGAATCTGAATTTTGATCATGGATGCTGTAACGGTCTTAAATGCAAAAAACTGTCATAAGCCACTTTTTTCAGTGCAGCTGTACCTTTGAACTGTCACTAAATGAAGTCAAGGACGACCTGTAATGGCTAACACGGCACCTCTAGGACAGAGGTCCTCAACCTTTCAGGGCACCAGGGATCTGTTCTATGGAGAGAGTTTTTTTTCCATGGACCCGAGGGGGCGTGGTTTTGTGTGGTGCCTGCATCCCATGGATGGAGCTTTGCTTGTTTGTGCAGCCTGGTTGCTGGGATGCCGCAGCTCGGTACTGGTCCATGGACCAGGGATTGGGGACCCCTGCTCTAGGAAGTTTATAAGCAGAAGATAACAGTTGTTGTCATCTCCAGAGCTGGCCTAAAGAAGTATGGCCCAGAGCAATGTTTTTCAACCTCAGACATTTTTAAGTATGAACCTTAAGTTCCAGCATACCCCAGCCAGCAACACTAGGCATGGGCTCCAAAACAGCAAGTCTTGGGAATAGGGCAATAGCTTGTTGTTTAAGTAGACATGGATTGTTTCAGCATATTATTATTACAGCATATTGTTTTTATATCAATTAGACTCTGTCATAATTTAGCTAGAATTATTCAAATCAGTAAGGCAAACTAGTCATGACTCTACTGTAATAGTTTAGGTATGGTAAAATCAAAGTCTAGATTTAGCTCACTAGTATTTAATAAGGGGCAGAGGCTTCCAGAGAAATCTGAGATTATCTATGATGAATTTATTAAACTGATCAATGCATGAAAATAAAATGTTTCTAAAGGAAAAAGTAAATGTTTTCCGTAAGCACTGGGGGGGGAGGCTTTTGTGCAGAAAAACAAAAAAAAATGCTAATACAGTAAGTAGGGAGGCCAGCTGCCACATGTTTATAACTGTTTTACAAAACAAAAACAAAAAAAGAGTGGAACAATTAAGAATTTTGTGACTTCACATCACAATACTTTTCAGCAATTATCAACCAAAAGTTGCAGAAAACATAACCTCTAGAATCTAGATAGCATGCTGGGAATCATTGCATTACAATAATCAGAACTACACACTCGTTGATTCTATTGATGCCACGCAGAGAACATTCTTGAATCAAACTTCCCAGTCTCTCGAAACAAGGCATATTGTAGCCTGGGGGCTGACATTTCATATTCCTCTTTTATTTTTTTAAAAAAACTCTCAACCATATTATCTTCTCAATTTTCAGGGACTGAATCTGACTCATGTCTGCGAAAAAAAAAAAGTGCATCCATCTTACTTTAAGTGTCTCTTTGCTTGGTCGAATACGAAGCAGCAGACGCCATAGGGAAAACAAGCATGGGTGTACGGAGTTAGGGAGTGGCCAAGATGCAAATGTCTAGCTTTCCAATTTCCCACCGACTGCAAGCAGGTACAGCAGCGCGTTATCAAATGTCACATCGCAGATGATACCTTGCCAGCCCGCACACAAACTTAAGAACATGCACATGAAATACACACGCACTATATTTAAAATGTGACACTCGGTCCTTTCAGTTTTAATTGCCGTCCTTCGAGACATTCGCCTGCACACGATTTCAGTTTTAAGCAACTGACCGCCCAAAAGAAATTCTAAGCAATAGGGACATCTAAAAAAAAACAAAACCTGCCAACCTCAGTGCCCTGCTCTTTTCCTACTGGGATATCTTGCAGCAAGGAGGAGGAGGAGGAGAAAGGGTGGGCCTCGCCTACTTAACCGTACATACCGAAAGTGACTAAACTGCAAACTTAAAAAAAAAAAGTTGAGCTTGTAGGTTAACGAAAGCATGGAAGTTCTTAAGCGTTTGCCTACCTGGTGCAACTCTGCAACAAGTGCATGCAGGTCCAAGATCACTGTAGGCGCAATTTTTTTTCTTAATTTGTTTTGCACCGATAAGGCAATTGCAATTTTAATTTACTACAGTGCTATTTACTGGGGTCCTACTTTGCTTACATTACAGCTCATCCTGTAAACAAATATCGCTCCGCCAGGAAATATACTCGCCCCCCGCTTCTTCCCTCCACAAGCTGCGCGCGATGTACCCTCCCCTTGGCGATTGCATTGGGGAGGGTGGAATAACTAATTGCAAGATCACGCGGGGGGGGGGAGTCAAGGGAGTTGGACTTACCTTTTCAAGAAATTCCATGCGTGCTTCGTATAATGGAGCTCTGCCCCCTCCCCCCCATCCCGGGTAAAAAATTCCAGTGTCAGCAAAACGCTGTCAAATTATTTTTGTGCAAAAAAAAGGAGGGGGGGAGAGCAGAAGCAAAAAAAAAAAAAAAAAAAGGGGAGGAGGCTATAAGAGAAAACTGGATCCCTCCGCCGAGATGGGTCTGGTCCTGAGTTTGCAAACCCGGAAGTAAGGTATCGGCAGCAGTTGCTGCTGTAGTAATAGCTTAGTAATAATAATACACCTTGGAACCCCTCGGTGGAGTACTGTGTCCTATGTAAGGTGCAATTTCCTGTTATAGCTATTACAGGATACAGCACTAGGTAGCTTCTAGGTAGAGTCCCTTACCAGTTAATCGCATTGATAATCCTAAAGGATTAGGGGTGCGGTTCGGTTACCCCATATCTCGGTCCCTCCTAAAAGCTGTAGATCCACCACACGAAATTAAGCCTATTTACTGGCGCTCTCCAACTGTTAGCGGCCCCAGCTCGGCTTGCTACACGGAAAACGGTCTCAGGTTAATTCCGGGCTCGCAAGAGTCAAAACGAACTGCGTGGATGTCGCACCGCTTCCTCCTTTGGCAGCTCGTAACTAGATTTTAGAGGGGCCCTTGAGCTTTCTTGCATCCGACTGGTTGGGGTTGCTTTCATGTAAAGGGCTAAAGCACATGCCGGGGGGCGGGGCGGGGGATTTGAGTAGGTCCCCGGTGTTATCCTGTACACGTTACTCGAAAGTAAACCCCGTCCATGCTGCACAGGGCGCAGTCTCGAATGAATTTATATGTGACTGCAGCAAAAAATAAAATAAAATAAGGAATCTTTTCTCCCCACAATGCACCACAAGCTGGGCTGGAGGATCTCCAGGCACCTGAAAGTAAGTCCCGCAGATTACACCGAAGCTTTACTCGCTAGTAAACGTAATTCAAATCAAACCATGGAAAGGGTGACTCGGATGTTCTTAGTTTTTCCCTTTCACCCCAAGTAGTAACGTGTGAGCCTAAGGAGGCTGCTGTACTGTGGTGTACGGTTTTTTTTTTTCTTTCTTTCTTTCTTTCCACAACGCCATAACTGCAAAACGCGTGGAAGGAGGAGGGGGAGTGAAATAGCTGGGACCGCTCCTGGGAGCGCCCCCAACCGGCTTGTAGTGGACACTGCGTTTCCCGGTTTGCCCGTCCCCCCTCCCCCCCAACCCTTCTCAAACGCAGCGAAAGAAAAGTTGTATTAATTACAGCCAATCGCCTTTCCCGGAGTTTTTTTTTCGCCCGCTAAGTTGCTGTAAAAGGAAGCCCACTTCTCGCTAAACGTGGTAAGATAGAGTGGAACTGAAAGCCTTCGATGCCACTGGTTTTCAGACGTGCTGTGCTTTTTTTTCTTCCTCGTAAGATTCCCGTGCTTTAATTTCACAGCAGAACAAGTACCAATCTAGTAGCCGAAGAATTAATTTCTACGTGTCGGGTGACTGTCAAAAGCACAGAATTTGCTGTCATATTGCAGTTGAAAGATGACAATTCTGTGGTGTGTTTAGCTCGTTTCATCACTACTGGGTGGATCCAACTGCTCTAGAATTTGAACAGAATTAGGGGTAACTTGGATTTAATTCCAGTGTGTGCCTGCACTGCTTACTTAAATATTGGCTACCAGTAAAACATCTTTGTATGGTGTTTTACAACAATCTTTGAAAATAAACTCGTAAGTTCCTTGCCTGCAAAAAATTGTATTAGTTTGACTTGAGCTAGTACAGGAGGAAGGAGGAAACCTCCAGCCTTGGACTTCCCTTGCTTAATACTATGTTAGAACTTCTGTATTGAAAGCTGAAGACCCACCAGTCCCTATGGTGGGTCACTTCCCTGCATGCAGTTCCCTTTGGCTGGCGATATTGGGCAAGTGGTCCATTAAGGCATATAGCCCTGATTTTGAGAAATTGGTAGCTAGGATATTTTTTTTGCTGTGGATCTGCTCACAAAACACTCTTCAATTAGTCATTGGCATGGAGGTTGTTGTGCAAACACCATAACTGTTCCAATAACCCAGAAGATGGTTTCTGGGTCCTCAGTTATCTCTTCAAACAGTGACAAGGGCTAAGACAGGCTTGCAAATTTGTAGCTTTCCTAAGTGTTCCATCTCTATTACTTTTTTCTACTTTCCTTACCCCCATGAAAAAGGTGGTGGTGATTCTTTCTGGTTATATTCTTAATGTTTCTGACTTCAGCTGGCATATTGAAGAGTTTTGTTAATGTTAACAAGGGGCAGAAAGGTTCAGATGCATATCCTCAATCCATGCAATAACATCAGGACAGTAAGTTTCTTTCCAATTATATAAATCTGTCTTTTCTGTGCCTCCAGCTAGATACAGTCAGAATTCTTGATGAGATGACAATTTCCATGTTTTCAGAATATAGTTCATCATACTGTAGTGTATAGTAATAGGCAGAAGGAATAATCTCAAGAAACAGGAGGAGTAGACACAACCAAGACAGTGTTCAGATAAAAACAAAATCCAGGCCAGAACTGTAACCTGAAAATAATCATCTCAGACAAGATTCTCCTTATTCTTACAGACATAAAAGAGGAGAGGGGAGTTGTACATTCAGGCTTGGAAGATTTTGTTATTATAACTTTATAATGAAAGTAGTATTAGCATGTATAACTTTGGTTTCCTAGTCTGGTCTATCTTGAAGAAGTGACACATACTGAAATCCTTAAGTATATTTCTGATCAAAATATTGTCATAAAGGGTAATTTTAAACCAAAACAAAGCTAGAGTTAGATAAGACCGTATCAGTATTAATATTAACATTTTTTATAATGCTAACATGAACAATTCAATCTCCATCCCTTTTTAAATTTTCTTCAAGAGGTGCAATTAACACAAAATAATATTTTATGATGAATTAATGTTTAAATCATAATAAATTTTATATTTCTTAACACCTGTATCTATTGATTCTTCAAAACTGTATATTCCAATTCTTCATAACTCAGGTGTACAATTGCAGTAATACTAACTTTCATTTTACTTTTTAATTCCATATAAAATTTAATTCTTGGTTTCTGTTCCAGCACTGCATTTCTTAAGGAACCTAAAATTGCAGGTGCTTCATAGATCTCTATATAATCTCTATCTTCATATTATTTGACTGAATATAAATGAGCTAAAATTTTAAAGAAGACATTCCGAAACCTTTCAGTAGTAGGCAAAAGATGTTTTAGTGTTTTGGATAATTTCTGGTAGAAGACAGGCAAGTGAGAAGTTGTGTGCTGCAGACAGGAGAAGGAGGAAGAGAAAACCAATATTCTCCCCGAGCCTTTTATTAAAGTTGGAATTTGTAGCAAGAAAAAATACTCTAGGTAACACATTAAACAAAGGAAACATTTGTTCTAAGTATTTTTAGAGGAATAGGAAAAAAAAATTCTAACATTTTTTTCTGTTTTTAAGTTTTAACATTTGTAGTTATTATTGTATCTTTATACTATCAGATTTTGCATGTTTTATGCAAATTGGCATCTCTTTACATCTAAGTTGCTTCCACATAGGAGAAGATCAGCATCAAGTTGGTATCTATTTACAGTCTTATCTTTTCCTGTATATTTTTCTATTAAAGTTTCTTTTAAGATATTTGTCAGTGATTTGAAGAGCAATATCTCTTTGTCTCTACCAGTTGATGATTTTTATATGATAATATCTAAAGTTAAAAATAAATGTATATACTCTCTTTTTCTTCTTTTTTTAAAAAAGAAGTTTAATTCTACTTATCTCTTGTGAAATTGGTCTACCTCCCCACAAAGGAGGATGGGCTGATTTGCCTAGTCATGCACTTCAAGATTGCAGGAGCAGGAGGTCATGCTTTAGAAGTGATTTCTCTTTTCATTTTTTTCTCTCTTGCCAATGTATATAGACTGTGGAAATCCTGTCTTTTTCATAAAGCACGTTTGGTGGAATTACACCAGGTAGAGGTACCCACTTGAAAAATGAGATGGCAGCAGTAATTTCCAAGCTATACAGAAGAGGAAATGGAGCTAGGTGTAGCGCAGTGGTGGCGAACCTATGGCACGGGTGCCAGAAGCGGCACTCAGAGCCCTCTCTGTGGGCACACCTGCTGTTGCCCAAGCCTCGCCTCGCCCCGCGACCCCCACCTCTCCAGCAGCCCCCCTGAAGGAGAGTTGCCCCTGAACATGGCCCACCCGGAGCAGAGCAGCCAAGGACATGGCAGCCAGGCAGCGTAGACAAGACTCTGCCCTCACACCCCATCATGCACAGTTGTTACTGCAGGGAGCGGGCAGAGGGCGTGATTGCCATAGCACTGCTGGGCTGCCTGGGCGATCTGCGGCAGGCTCTGGAGGTGGTGAGTGGTCCTGCAGGCAGGCAGGGTGGGGGAGGGGGGAGGGGCAGGAGGTGGAGCGGGGGCAGGGGCAGTTTTTGGGCACTCGGTCTCTAAAAGGTTTGTCATCACTGGTGTAGAGTCTCAAAAGGTCTCTGGGGGACAGCCTTTCATTCTATTGACTTAATCATGACGATCCCACAACAGTTTAAAAAAAAATGTGTAGTATATATTTCCAACTGAGAAAAGTTCACATTTTAACCATCTGAACATTCCTCTGTTATCTGTTTATAGAAGAGTCTCTCCTACACAGGAGGAATGAATAACTAAGAATGCCTTAAAAGCCTGGGTGATGAACTGAATTCTAAAGAATTTTCTAAGCAAAATTATCTGGTTGCTGAGATTTCTATAACTTTGTATTTCTTTTTAAAAATGTTAGCTTTTAAAAAATGGTGGAAGAATCTTCCTTTCTGTTGTGGAGGTGGGATGATGAAGGATTCTTATCAAGCCATAGTCTGTCAAGTGTTTGAGTATCTTCTGCTGAATTTGAAACTAGTTTCAAATTCAGCAAAAGATACTCAAACATTTGACAGTGTAAAGTTTGCAGTAAAAGTTGAGTAAACTTTGCAGTTATGCTATGTCGTTATCAGGAGAACCTAACATTAAACACCTCCAAGTTCCATTCCCATACTAATTCTTTTTTTTTTTCAAAAACAAGGTACAAAACATTGGTTCAACCATGTCACCAGGTCAGTGGGTGGCATTCTCCAACAATTCAGCAGATTAAGAGATAGGCCCCTTTATTTCAAAAATTGTGCACTTCTTGACTAGGTGATTCACTATATTACTTCTGATGTATGCTTCTTTTAAGATTTCTGTTATAAATTGTTCCATATATTCATAGCTAGTAAGACTGAGTATCCTTGGAAAATGAATAAGAAGTTTAGATGGATTTCATGTGACACAGCACCTCTACTATTGATTAAAGAAGGCTATCTTCCACATGAGATTGAAAAAGATGCTCAATGCTTCAAGGAGCTGGTTCGTTTAGGTTTTGCAACTTTTAAAACAGCTACTGCTGTATTTTACTTATAAAAGGGGAAATGGATGTACGGCAGTTGCTCACCTATGAATGGGACATTCTTCCTTTGAAATGTCCTTTTGAAATTTTTAATTAAGACATCTAAAAACATTCAGAACTACAACTTGACTTCATATCTAATTATTTAATGCTTTAAATATCAGAACCAAGGCAACACTTCTATTAAATTTAAGCATGACACTGTCCTAATTCCATAGAAGTTGATTTTAAAAAAATGATAGGCAGAAGGTTTCATTCTTCCATGGTTTACTTTCCTGCAGATTCCATTGCCATTTTTCTCCAAGTAAAGTAGCTGAAGAATCTCCTGATTACAAACTGACTGTCAGTTTAGAGATGAGTTATTTACCTTTGGATTAATTGCCTTTAATAAGTGCAAGGCAGCATACAAATATATAATTATAGCCATTCTAATAATTATGGATTGAGGATGGCTTCTTATTTCTATACTCTAACCATCCCCAAGTATAGAAGAGTCTTTTCCCTAGCCCCTTTCAATGTCTTGCCCTCAGCACTACTCGACGGGCGATTCAAGAGGCTCCCGTTTAGTGAGCGACTATGCCCCTGTGATAGGGCTGAAGTTGAAACTGTGGAGCATGTCTTATCATACTGCCAATTAAATTATTGCCTCTCCTTGGAATTGATCCCTCTGGTTCTAATGTTAGTAATTTGGTTTTATATTGTCTAGGGGATGACTCCTCCTATATTACTTCTCAGGTTTCTAAATTTATTTTAAGAGCTATAACTATTAGAGGTGAACGTTGTAATTCCCTTTAGCCAAGGCTTCTGGTGTTAATTGTTTATGATTATATTTTTCTTGTGTTTTCTTTTGTTGCACTTGCATTTTGGTCTGTGACCGCAAAATAATATTAATATATATATATATATAATTATATAAAATAGAGAGCATCAGACAAATGAACTAATCATAACTGAAATCCATAAGACGGAAAAGCATTTTGCAATCCTTCTAGAAAGACACTACAAAGAGAAATGAGATTTGTAGGATAACTGAAATGTTACAACCATGCAATTGTAATTGCTTGACTGCTATTCAGTAGCATTCATAACAAACTATAATGCAGATTTTCCCATTGTGCTCGAAACTCCCTCCTCCAGAACATGGTAATTGGTTTCTACTGTTTGTGAGGAGTAGATACCTTGGAGAAAAAGAGTTGGATGTGCGTATAATGTTCATATAACGGGCACGTATTCTGATGTAACTTTACAGTTTCATCCCACAAGGGAAGTGGTTGCAAAAGAGGGTAAAGTATTTCAGCATAAATACATATTTTAAACTCTATGTCTATTGTTAGTGAATTGACTCAGTAAACCACCTCCTCTAGATTTATATGACCAAAATAAGGTCAGAAGGCTTTGATAACTACTTTGAGTCATCAGGGCCCAGTGTGGAAAGTAGTAGTTAATATGTTGGATTAAACTGGGTGAATTGAATTAAGAAGCTGAGGCTTGCACCTTTTGAGATAACTTTAAACTAATTACTGTCTCTCAGCCTAACCCACCTAATAGGGTTTGTTTTATCAGGGTAAACTAGAGAAAGCCAAGCAGACTACTCTGAGCTTCTGATGTGATAAAGTAAAAATATATCAAAATAGTACCAGTACTATTAAATAGTACCAGTAATCATCATCAGCATCTGCCTCATGTTTAAAGAACGGATGTATGAAGTCGCTATAACAGGAAGAGTATATTAACTAATTTTGGAGTTTGTTGAAGAGCCTTCTGATGTATTTTGTAGAGAATTAGACAGTGCACACCCTTTGAAAAGGGTGTTTCGCAATACAGGGGGGATGTGTCCAAAGCAAATGCTGAATAAATAAAGGAGCTGTGACTTTTTTTCCTTTTTTTTAGATTTGCACCATTGCTTCATAAACTGCTTCCAGCTGTCTTCCTATGTTTGTGTATGCACAGCCATTTTGCTTCATTGGGAAGAAAGAAAGATGGAAAGGATCAGAGTGCTGCACTTATCTCCACATTGAGTTTCTAATGTGACATACATAAAATTCCATTGTAATATTATTTGCGGTTGGAAAAAAAAATAAAACAACTGAGTTAAAAGTTTTTGAGCCATTTCCTAAAATGTTGTAAGAAACAAGCAAGGAAGCCTCAACTCCAGTTATATTATGTTTCACAATATACAGTAGATCAGACATGTCAAACACAAGGCCCGGGGGCCGGACCTGGCATATATAACCGAAACCTGGCTGGGCCATGAGGGGGGTATTTCCCTCTCGGAGATGTGCCCGGACGGGTTTGTGGTGCTTCATCAGCCTTGACATCAGGGCAGGGGTGGGGGAGTGGCAGTCATCGCTGGGAAGTCCTTGAGTCCTCATGGGATTCCTGCCCCAGAGGTTGTTGGGTGTGAGTCCCTCCTATTGAAGTTGGGTTCACGGGTTCAGTTGGGCTTGCTGCTGACGTACCTACCTCCCAGCTGCGTTGCAACAGCCCTGCCTGCGTTGCTGGAGTCAGTAGCCGGGTTGGCAGTGGAGTTCCCCAGACTTATGGTACTGGGGGACTTTAACCTATCATCACTCGGCGATCGCTCAGAGGCGGCGCAGGAGTTCATGGCTTCCATGGCAACCATGGACCTGACCCAGGTAATCCAGGATCTGACTCATAGGGGTGGTCACACACTCGACCTTGTGTTTCTCTCGGGGCAATGGAGACATGATCTGGAATTAAGGGGAATAGAGATCTCGCCCTTGTCATGGACAGATCATTTCCTATTGAGGCTGGACTTCAGAGCATCACTCCCCCATCGCAGGGAGAGGGAGCCGACTAGGTGGTTCCGCCCCAGGCGCCTAATGGACCCAGATCGGTTCCAGGAGGAGCTTGGGGAAATACCTGACTCCCTTGTCCACAACTCGTCCGGGTCCCTGGTTGCGGCCTGGAATGAGGCGGCGTCCGGGGCCCTGGATCGAATTGCGCCTTTGCGACCTCTCTGTGGTGGTGGTCCCCGGAGGGCGCCTTGGTTTACTGAGGAGCTCCGGGAGATGAAGCACCACAAGCGACGTCTAGAGCGACGTTGGAGGGCCAGTAACTCTGAATCTGACCGATCACTATTAAGAGCCTATCTTAGACTTATTTAGTGGCGATAAGGACGGCAAAGCGTGTTCACTTTTCCGCACTTATTGCGTCTGCAGAATCTCGCCTGGCTGCCTTGTTTAGGGTGACCCGCTCCCTTCTTAAAGTGGAGGAGGCGGAGGAACCCTTGCAGGGGAGAGCTGAGGAGTTTGTTCAGTTTCTTTCAGACAAAATCACTCAGATTCAGAGAGACCTGGACTCCGACTGGGCAGTGCCAGCCGAGCTGTCGGGGGCTGGTCTTAGTCATGTTATCTGGAGTGAGTTTGAGCCTGTGACCCCTGATGAAGTAGACAAGGCCGTGAGGGCAATTAATGCCGCCACCTGTTTATTGGACCCGTGCCCCTCCTGGCTGGTTTCTGCCAGTAGGGAGGTGACACGAGGCTGGCTCCAGGCAATAATGCCTCCTTGATGGAGGGGTCTTTCCCGCAACCTTTAAAGGAAGCGGTGGTGAGGCCCCTCCTCAAGAAGCCTTCCCTGGACCCAGCTGTTTTGAAGAACTTTCATCCTGTTTCCAACCTCCCCTTTGTGGGGAAGGTTGTAGAGAAGGTGGTGGCGCCCCAACTCTTGCAATCCTTGGATGAAACTAATTATCTGGACCCTTTTCAATCTGGTTTCAGGCCCGGCTACAGCACTGAGACTGCTTTGGTCGCACTGACCGATGACCTCTGGCGAGCCTGGGATAGGGGTCATTCCTCTATCCTGGTGCTTCTTGACCTCTCAGCGGCTTTCGATACCATCGACCATGGTATCCTTCTGCGTCGTCTCGGAGAGGTGGGGGTGGGCGGCACCGTATTGCGGTGGTTCTCCTCCTACCTCTCTGACAGGTCGCAGTCAGTGTTGGCAGGCGGACAGAGATCGACCCCTAGGCGCCTCGATCATGGGGTGCCTCAGGGCTCCGTCCTGTCCCCCCTCCTTTTTAACATCTACATGAAACCGCTGGGTGAGATCATTCGGCGACACAGGGTGAGGTATCATCAGTACGCGGATGATACCCAATTATATATCTCCACTCCGTGTCCTTTCAGTGAAGCAGTCGATGTGATGTGCCGGTGCCTGGAAGATGTGAGGGTCTGGATGGGGGTGAACAGGCTTAGACTCAACCCTGACAAGACCGAGTGGCTCTGGGTCTTGCCTCCCAAAGGTCAACTGGATGGTCCATCATTAGTCCTGGGGGAGGCAAATTTACCTCCCTCAGTGCAGGCACACAACTTGGGTGTCCTCCTGGACTCACAGCTAAATTTGGAACAACATCTATTGGCTGTGGCCAGGGGGACCTTTGCCCAGATTCGCCTGGTGCACCAGTTGCGGCCTTATTTGGACCGAGAGGCTTTACTCACAGTCACTCATGCCCTTGTCACCTCAAGACTGGATTACTGTAATGCGCTCTACATGGGGCTACCCTTGAAGAGCGTTCGGAGGCTGCAGTTGCTTCAGAATGCAGCCGCGAGAGCGATTGTGGGCGTGCCAAGGTACGCCCACGTGTCACCTATCCTCTGCAAGCTGCACTGGCTTCCTGTGGGTCTCCGGACGCAATTCAAGGTGTTGGTTATCACCTTTAAAGCCCTTCATGGCATAGGGCCAGATTACTTACAGTATCGCATACTGCCGCACAGTTCACAGAGACTGGTGAGGTCCCATAGATTGGGCCTCCTTCAGGTCCCGTCAGCCAGACAATGTCAGCTGGCGGGCCCTCGGGGAAGGGCCTTTTCTGTGGTGGCTCCGACTTGGTGGAATCAACTCCCCCCCGAGGTTCAAACAACTCCCACCCTGCTGGCCTTTAAGAAAGCCGTTAAAACTCTCCTGTTCCGGCAGGCCTGGGGCTGATGTCCCCGGGGGGGGGGCGGGATATGATCGGACTCACAGTATGATTGTATTATTTTATTGTTTTATTGTTAGATGATTGTTTTAATTTTGTACGCCGCCCTAAGTCCTTTGGGATTGGGCGGCATATAAATAAAATAAATAAATAAATAAATAAATAAATGTGGCCCGCGAAGTGGTTTCATGTGGCCCGCAAAGCCATCCTGGAATCAGTGAGGAAATGGCCCCCTCTGCCTTGTCCCTGGCCCAGGCCGGCCGGGAGCCAATGTACAATTTTGTGGTGGCCATCTATGCTGAAACACATTCAGTCTTAGCTCCACAAGGCCGTCTGGAAACAGCGAGGAACCAGCCCGCCACGTCAGCCCTGCCCCCTGGGTGCATGCTGGGGAGGTGTCACCCTTTGTGAGGAATGAAGAAATGCACCATCACCTGCAAGTGGCCAGCAAATGGCCCTCGCCTACTTCACCTATCCGGCTTGATGGGCTCTGGGGGAGGGGGTTTGGCAGGCAGCGGGGCGCTCGAGACTGGGCAGGCTGGGGGCTGGGCAGCATTGCACAGGTAACGTTGACTCTCACGCTGCTCATGGCATCCCCTCTTCCAGAGCCCACCAAGCCAGATATGTGAAGTAGGTGAAGGCCATGTGCTGGCTACTTCCAGGTGATGGTGCATTTCTTCATTCCTCATGAAGGGTGACACCTCCCCAGCTGCGGTTCTTGCCTGTTTTTCTCCCTCCCTCATCTCAAATATTTTCCCACTACTCTGTACTTAGGGAGGAAAGAAGGAGAGGGAGAGTCTGAGGGAAGTCCTGCCTTAATCCTGCTCTGCTGCCCTTTCACCATCCCCTTGCCCCCTCCTCCTGGCCTATCCTAGGGGTCTCTCATCCTATTGCTAAGGAAGCTTTGGATACAAAGCCGGGTATCCTCCCATGGAGAGGGAATGGGCCTCCCTCTGACTTTGCCCTCGTACCCATCATAAGCATCCTGGCTAAGGAGAGCAAGCACAGCAGCAGCAGCCTTGAGAAGGAGGTAAGTGCAGCTGGGCGCCCCCTTGGGGAAGTAGGCTGGGCTTGGTGCCGTGGGTGCTCGAGGGCCAGACTGGGCATTTGACCTCTGCTGCCCAGGGCTCCCGGCAGCCCATACCACCATCCAGCCTCCCCGCATGGCCTGAGAGGAACAGTGAGGCTCCTCCAGTGGACCATGCCTTGGCACTTGCCCTGGTCCCACCCCCTTCTGCCAGAGACCCTCAGATCTGCCCCACTCCTGCCCAGGCCCCCACAGACACCCTTGACGCGAACGATGTAGAGCTGGCCATGCCCACTCAGTAGGCCACACCCATTCCATCCACCCACCCACCCAGTCGGCCGCACCCATCCTGGCCACACCCACCCGCTCCCCCAAGGGCAACCGCAATGCTGATGCGGCCCTCAATGAAATTGAGTTTGATACCCTTGCAGTAGATGGTTAAAAATTAATACACTAATACAGGGGTAGGCAGCCTTGGCTCTTTTATGACTCATGGACCCCTGCACTAATAGAAGACAGGTGAAGAAAAACTCTTGAAAGCACACATAACATATTTTCAACAGTGAATGCAAACCATCCCCTACCCAGGAGCATGGGGGGACAACAAGGTCTTCAGAGCTCTCTTTAAGGGCTGCAAAATTGGAGCTTCAGAAGTTGTTGATGTTCCAAAGGACACAGAATGCACGCTTCCTGGATCCAGTATGGCATTGTTTATTAGATGGACTAAAATGCACCAGTCTTGTTGTATCTTGTGGGACAATGAGCTAGAGATGGTCCCTGTACTGGACCCTATACCATAAAAGACTTTATAGATTAGACAACAGAACCTAATTTGAATATCTGAACACTATTTTGACATTTCTATGTTAAGGGTATAACTCAGCTTGATTCCCTATGGATACATTGGACTATAACCACCAGTGCCCATTGTACAGTGTTTTATATTTGGTACCAAAAAGTGTTTCACAGTGCATGACAGAATAAACATGCATCAACCTCCAAATCTTTAAAGCAAATGGATCTTTTCCTGGCCTTGCATAATTGCTGTCTATAGTTGCTGACTGGTTTTGAGAAAAGTTGCAACTGCTTTAAGTGGAAGGATACTACAGAAGACATCTTTGTGCTCTGAGG